CTGGTTTAGTTACTCAAAATATGTTAAAAGTACGTTTAAATGACATTTTTTTCTATACTAATGTTTAAATAAGTATATTCAAAATTATCTCATTCAAGGTATTTCAAGATATGCTGATAACCGCGGGTGAAGAAGTAAATGCTATGGAAAACCACGATCCATTCGAATCACCTGTTTCGAATGACACCATCAATGAGGACAAAACATTAGGTATTCAAAAACACATTTTTTGTCAATTCAGAATACTTATTTTGGTTTATCGATTTAGGTCGTTCGTTCCTTGTGGAGAATGATGTCACTGCTTTGTTCAGAGCCACGACTAATTTAAATTTTTCACTTATACATGAAGTTCATATGTACCTCACCACCCCTCCAACAAATATGGATTGCTGTAAATATTTATCTGATTTCCCAACAATACGAAAGCTGTATCTCAAATATAATTCCATTCGTACGAGTGAAGCGATTTGCGAACGCCTATTCCGATATGCAGGTTAAATTTTGTCAGCAATACTGGGGCTTATTTCACCAATTATTTTAATATGAAAATGGTCATCAAAACATTCTGAATTTTGAAAATACCTTCTTTTAAAAATTGTTCTTGTCAGCTCACATTCATAATGTTTTCATGAATATTTGTCCGCGAAAATACTTGGTGACATGATGCCCAATTGGTGCTGCTTTGTGTTGTGTTGTGTTGTGTTTGTTTGGGTTTGTTTGGTGGTGGTAAGCCTGTCATTTGTATCATTTTTTACTGATTCCAATTTATTGATAATGTAATAGCATTTCTCATTTTTTATTATATAGGAATCATCTTCCATGATACGAGACGAAGTATGACCGATGATTTATTTGAAAATCTACTTCTTTTGCACATGAGCAGTTGGGACTGGGACTTATAATTTGCCAAATTTCATCGATAAAACCTCTCGAATGATATTTATGTTTCCACCTTGGTCTTACCATCTCTACTTTTAAGATTCATTGGAATTAAACCAAAGTTTTTTTTACCAAACATAAAATTCAACTTATTGAACATATCTCATGAATTTTATTGATATGAATAAAAAGAAAATAAAAGATCTCCGAAAGTGATCAAGTTAAAAAAATACGACAAATTGGAGTTTTTCATTTAACTTGAAACAAATTTTTTTTTTCAAACAAAAACAATGAAAAAATAGGGAAATTACGTGTATTTGTTAAAGTGAGTACTATTAATTTAAACTTTTTTCTCATTCTGATACAGTGTTCGGTGAGTCCGTCGGACTCAACCCGATGATTATCGTAATAATTAGGATCCAATCTTAATAATTATTAGGATCAAATCTTAATATTTATTAAGATTAAATCTTAATATTTATTAAGATCAAATGTTGATAATTATCAAAGTTGAATCTTGATAATTATTAAGATCGAATGTTAATTAATTATCAGGATTCGATCTTAATAACTTCAAAACGGTAAATTTTCATTAAGATATCATCCTGATAATTTATTAACATTCGATCTTAATAATTATCAAGATTCATCCGATAACGTTATTATTTGAATATAGTTAATATCCTGATAACAAGTTGATAGCGTTATTAAGATTTATCGGTATTATGATCGGATCTCAATAATCTCTCAAAATTATTAGGATGGTTATTAAGATACGAATATGGCACAGCTATAGTAGTCATTGTGTTTTCGCCCATGAACATTACTCCGATTACGTGTTTTTTCAAACGCTCTAACACGATATTCACTTGATCAGATATCGGAGTTGTATAGCAATTCACATACCTCCAGTGTGAATACGGTGATTTTGAAAGCATTGTAGGTTTTGCGGTATTTTCTTTTGCTGGGCAGTTCAAAAACCTTGAATATATCCGGGTTGAGGTTGGCTTTTTCCATTAAGTAGCTGACAATATCATCTGGAGATGAATCTGTATCAGCTTTGGAAACGTACAAAGTGTATAGTCCATTTGCATCTTCCGTCGGTATTACAATTCGTTTGGTATGCACATTTGGTTTGTTGGATACGCTAATGTTAGCCGGCAACATACCAGGTTGGTTCAATTTAGATGTTTGATTTGAGTTTTCATGACTTCCACTCGGTTTATGTACATTGGATCGGTCGGTGCCATTATCATTTTGCGTGTGACTTCCGAATTTCGCTGTGCAAACTTCACACGTAAGTCCAAATGGTGTGTTTTCATCAAAGAATTGTTGGAATTCATTCACTTTGTTTACGCTCGGTACACCTTTGAAAACGAAATATGGATTGCCATCACTGTCCTTCGCTTCACTTATCAAATCAATACCATAAAATTTATATATTCAGAAACCTCTCGTCAACGCACACACGAGCCATATGAAGTTTTATTAATTTTATTTTAATTTTTGTTTTTATCAGTACATTTTTACTTTGTTTACTATTCACATAACCACAAAATGTCAACACATACTGAACCACACTCTTGTGCAACAAATGATTGCAAAGGTTATCATGATATTTTTTTAAATTG